TCCATGAACATACCTTCAGCCAGTTTATATTGGCATGTAATGACTCCATTAAACATTATAAGCAATCAAAATTATGCATATAGGGATGGAAGAAATGAAGGACTTCAACTAGTCTTCAACTTTTCTTTGCAAACCATAGAAAATAAAAGCCAGAAATCAACTAGAATGTCAAATAAAACAGAGCAAGTTAGATGTCCATTATACCTGAAGTGACTCCTCGGTATAGCTTTCTCTCACTTTAGGCAAGTTAGATATTTTCACAACAATAATGCTTCCACTTGAATAACCCATCTTCCCATCTAATGTAATCTTTGCAACAGACTCAAGGACACCCTCATGGGAACTAGACCCAGACATGCTGGGAGCAAGACGGCTACTAGGAGAAGCAGATCCACCAGAAGCTCCACCAATGCTATTATCAAATAAAGGAACAATAGCCCAGGCAAAGGACTCTCTGTAAGGCATAATTTGAGACCACACCTGCAGTTTCTGCCTTTCTCTCTCAGTAAAGTGCACCTGTTAAGGAGAAGATAGAGAACAACAATAATTATAAGGAATTTATTTGAGATGCAGAGGGTAAAGAAATGATTACCATTAAGCAATAACAATAGTCAAAAACCATACAGCTACTAAAATAAATCAAAATTATATTTATTTTCCCCAAGCTTTCATCAACTCTAAAATATTTAAGAGTGTCCTACAACAAACTTGATGTTCAGTTCAACATTAGTGGCTGAAGATCTACCCTCATATTCCAATAGCCAAAACTATGTTGCCTCACATATGCAACAATTCTCAACTGACATAGTTTAAATTATTTATAGACTTTCCTAATCATGTCTTCACTAAAATGAGAACACTTAGCATGCAATGTAACAATTTAAGTTCAAATGCACAACAGCTGCATCACCAGGTTTTTTTATTGCTTTGTTTTCTCTCATCTTTTAAAATGTCAACGTTCACCAAACTCCATTCGATTAATATTTCTGAGAAATAAACATCCCTTCCTACTGGACGTACCAAAACATTGAATTCTAATCACCTATGAGAAACAATTTCATAATCAACTGATCCAAAACATTAGTGTAACAAAAGGATCAATGCAAGCAAAATAGAAGTCATTTATAATTTGTAAGGAAGCATAGATAAAAGAAAGTATGGCAATATGTAGCAGTAGGAGCATAGATGAATGAATAAGGATGAAAATCCACTGAAGAAATACTAATTTCACAATTATCTTGCTGTAAGAGAAAGACCAAATGCTCCACCATCTTGGCTAATGTTAAGCATCTTGGCCCCAAAACTAAAATATCACGCATTAATTGCAATGCCAATGATTAGCTAACTTATCTAGCAGATGCAGAGCCATTATTTTCCACAGTAAGAACTACAGTAAAAACCAATTGAAAGACAGATGATGAGGGGGCGATAATTAAAATTCTTGCCGCCAGATAACAAGCAAGCCAACAGGTAAAAATCTTGCTGTCAGGTAACAATCAAGCCAACGGGTAAAAATCTTGCTGCCAGGTAACAAGCAAGCCAACAAAAGAGAAATTTTGTCACGTTTAATCAGAGGTCAGATTGAAGATGAACAAAATGGAAACATATAAGTTCTTCATACATACAGGTTCTTTACATGAATAAACAGAAGGAGTCACTCCCCCTTCTTCTGTTGCAGGCTTCTCTAATTGGATTAGTAGACACACAGATGCTGACGGTGCATCTAAATAGAAAAGTCCGTGAGGTTCTGAAGATACTTTATTAGTCTGTCCAGGTAAATGAGAAAGAGTGGATTTCTAAGTCATCAATATGAAAAACTAAAGCACCAAAGAATTTAATGCTAAATTAGTTTTAAGGCTTACATCCTGCATTTCAGTTGGTAGAATGCTAAAATAGAAATCTTCTGACAATTTTCTCTTCTCTCCCTATCGTATAAGCAAATTGTACCATAGAATGGCTCTGAGACAAATAGAGGAAGCTAGGTCAGAAATCTTAAAAGTGCAAAAAATAATGACATAAAGCAGTATCTTAACATTATAAAGATGCAGCAGCTGGTGGATAACAGGGAAAGAACACTAACCTGACACAATTTAGCATCCGATCACCAATGAGATCAAAGTTTCTTGACGGCTTGATGATATTCCAAAAAAAAAAAAAAAATCTGTTCTTCTATAAGTTAATATGAACCATATAAACACAGTAGAAACCAGTATCATCTAAACCAAACAAGACAACATTAATAATGCTGCATGAAATTCACAGTCAAGAACTGAAAAAGGAGATCAGATTAATCTTTGCTAAACTTAACCCAATATTTAAGTCAGCAAATGCCTTTACACAACAACCACAAACTTTCCAGGATAAAAGGTACTGAAACGTTAACAATCATTAAATGTGAATGTTCTTCAACTTCATATATTTTATCTTTACAAAGTTTTCAATATTTCCATACTAAAATTCAAATTTCAATTACTATTCACTAATTACAAGAATCATCAATCATCAAACAAAGAAAGCAAACCTTCCATGGCCACAAGTGTAGTTATAGTCTTATAGAAGTCTTTGCCATTGAGAATAATGCAGATAGACCTAAAGTGCGGTCAGAATCACACCTTGGTCTTTGAAAATCTTACAAATCATGGAAACCTTAGGCCACGCTTTCCTCAACAACAATGCCCACTGCTCAATCACTCCGTACCTTGCATTCACCACTTTCTCCACCGCAAGCACCTTCTTGCACCAGAAAACCCAAAAACCACAAAACATCGCCCCCAGAAAGACCCCCCCACTTCAACAAAATCTTCAGAGACTCCAAATCAAGGCCAAAACCTCACCCTGGTCACCACCCAGATCATTGTTTTTTCACTTAACGATCTGAGGAGAGCTCTAGTACCAACAATGCCAAGTATTCACAATCTCAAAGTGTAAATTCCACCAAAAATGGACGGATTGAAACAATTGGAGACTATACGACATGGGAAGTGACTACTTTTGGATGAAAATTTTATTGAGCATTTCAAATTTCAATTGTGTTGCACGAAACCCAAACACTTGGATCCAGGAATGAGGGGGGTGATTGATAACAGCAGATTTAGGTGCCTCAACCCCCCACAATAGTTATAGCTGAAGGAAAATGTTAAAAATTCAGAAAAAAAAAAAAAAAAAAAAAAAAACCCAAACTGTATTCGCTTTCCCAATGCTATTCCTTCTTCCTGTTGGAATTGAGCATGCTAGGTGACGAGGTTGAGGGAGAATAGGATGGGTATTGATGGATTTGCCGCAGGTCGAACGCAGGAGTTGGGATTCATAATAGAAGAGGAACCCTAAAGAGGTGAAATTGAGGTGAGTCCCTTCATCTGTGGAAATGGAGGCTACTTCCATCTGGATTCTTTCTGTTGTGAAGGAAGATGTTGCCGAGAGCGAGTGCGAGAGAGAGACCGAGGCCCAAATTATAAGACTTACCCTTCCCAACAAGACTATTACAGTTATATCCCCAAGACGATAACCATCTAAAAATCCCGATTCCATCAAAATCCCATCTCAAAATTCAAACTTCCGCATTTCCCCCTTCCGCATCTCAAAATCCAGATTTTTATGAGGCTGCTAATGGGAATCTCTAGAACAAAACTGTAAAGAACAAAAACTCGATGCATCTTCGCTACCATACCAACCAGCTTAAACCTTCAAATAACTCTGCTGTCGTACTCGCCCAGATTGTAAAACACTTTCTCAATATATTTTACAATAAAGAAAGACAAAATTACACAGCATAATAAAGACAAGAGAAGGCTGACAATTTTACACAAGCCAATGCCAGCCATAACAGCAACTTCAAACCCGAAAAGCACTTATTCAGGAAACATTAAATCAGAAGCTCCAAAACATCAACTCTGCAACTAGCTTCTTCTTTGAACAAGTCTTCTGGCTTTCCTCATCTTCCTTCCACTTTGA